AGTTCCTCTTAAAGGACCCACTCATGGACTTACGTGGACTCACTCCCTCTGAGCTCCAGTGCTGGCACAGCAGCTTGAAAGGCTGGGAACCAGAGATATAGGCAGGAACTGAATTGTCTGACATAAGGTGGGTGCTGGGGTGGGGGCAGCTTTCTCCCAGAGAAAAGTGCTGCCATTGTTCCTTTGATGAGACCTCCCATCACAGATCCAGTAGGCACCATTGTCAGAGAATCCATCAACATGCCTCACATTGTTTGTCTAGCCCTGGTGATTCCCTGAGGCCACATCCCACACAACATTGCGGCTCCCTAAGCCACTTCCAGTGGCTTATCCATGCAAATTGTTTTTATTGCTTCATGGTTTGGACCTTCCTAAAATCTCTCAAACAAGCAGCATCTGGCCTCAGTTTGCTCTGCACCTCTTGCTAGGTAGCTTCAGGCTGGGCACTAGCATCAGCAGGTACCTCTCCCAGGCACCTCCAAACTCAGTACAAGTAGCAGCCATCTGCAGATCACTTTGTTGCTCATGCTGTGTGGCCCCAGGCAGGACAGAATGGGGGCTGACCTTGGCTTGCAGGTCCCTGGAGGTGCCAGAGTCAGTGAACCCAGTAGACAGCTACAGAACACATCTAAGCACCACCAGCCAACCACATCCACAAGTGACACACTCAAGGGGTAGACTCAGTAGACACAAGAGCCCTGCTCTGTAAAGTGGGCCATTGCACAGCTGGTCCTCCATGGTGGTTGGTAGTCACAGCCAGTCCTTGCAGCTGATTAGCCTGGGAGTATATCCCTCTCGTCAATGTGCCCAAAGCAATCAAGTCTCAACTACAAGAGGAGGGTGTACACAGCCCACATGGGGGTTGCACCTCGAGTGCCCAGCTTGGATAATTAGGGAGGCTGTGCCATTGGACCCCTACAGAACACTTCCTACATTAGGCTGCTCTACCAAGCCAGGGAGATGGAGCAGCTCTACCTAATACACAGAAACAACCACAGGAAAGCTGCCAAAATGAGAAGACATAGACTGTCCCAAATGAAAGAACAAAACTCCAGAAAAATAACTAAACAAAATGGACACAATCATTCCACTAGATGCAGAGTTCAAAACACTGGTTATAAGGGTACTCAATCATTAGTGAGAACTTCAACAGTGTAAAAAGGGACTAGTCAAAAATGAAGGATACATGGTATTGGGAGATCTGGAAAGCTACACGCAAAAAAATGAAACTTGATCATTAACTTACACCATACACAAAAATAAACTCAAGATGGATAAAATCAACTGCCAGATGGTTGCCAGATGGGAGGATGGTTGGGGAATATGTGAAAAAGGCGAAGAAATTAAGAAGTACAAATTGTTAGTTACAGAATAGTCATGGGGTGTAAAGTACAGCACAGTGAATACAGTGAATAATATTCTAATACCCCTGAATGGTATCAGATGGGTATGAGATTTATTGGGATGATCACTTAGTAAGTCATTTAGTGTCTAATCACAGGGATGTACATCTCAAACTAATATAATAATGTATGTCAACTGTAATTGAAAAATTAAAAAATAAAGACATCACCAAATAAACCACAGTGATTGATAACAGATCCTTCTCTCCAAAATTAATCAGCAGTAGACACTTCTGATGAGCACAAGCATTAATTTCCACACTGGGCTGAACTAATGTCAGCCAAAAGCGAAGATACTGCTGGGTAGACTTTGTACAGGCTAATAAATGGCTTCTAATGAGGGTTATAAAATGCAGACAATGATTCATCGATCTACACCTCTATTACTTACGGACCTAAGGTTTCAGGGCCGCCAGCTGGAGATCCAGTGCCCTAAGTCATGACCCAGCACACTCTGGCTGAATCTCCTGACCACTGACTGAGCAGGAGAGACAAACAGGGTTGGGAAGAGAAAGGAGTCAAAAACTAAAGTGGACCTCATTGGTTAGGCCTCCCATGGCAGAGAAAGCAAGCTATCCACCATAACCCATTCCTGCATTCTGGCATAAAAGAGCATTATGGCTGAGAAAGCTGCATTTTCTCACTAACCACCACTCCCCTCAACTCCCAACCCCAAGTGATATGGTAAAATCCTTGCCCTGGAATGAATAGAAGGGTCATGTGCCACCTCCAGGCCAGCAGTTTCAGAGTGGGTAACCTTTCCACACATGTACCAGACCTAGTGCCACCCTACCCAGGCCTCCTCAGCATTTGGTTCTATGTGCTGAAGGCTCCTTATGGCCAAACCATCACTCTGCCTGAGGGCTTTTCCTGGCACAGGAAGTATGCCCAGGGAGCCAGTGCACAGGGAAGGTTGGAAGGGCACAGAAATGAATGCCCTTAGTGCCACCACCTCAACTAAATCCCCAGGGATGGGGAGGTAGTGGACAAATGTTTTCCTATGCTCCTTATGTGGAGTAACTCTGAGGCACATCTGTACTGTTTCCTAGAGATCCCTGTAGCAAATAAGCTCCAGTTGCCCACAGCAGTAACTTTCTCTATTTTATTCCCTTTGGTTGTTGTCTTCCCATCGCTGTCACACTTCCCTACTGCCCTGCAGATGCTTCCTGGGATCACCTTCCATAGCGATAGACTTGAATTTGAGCCCTTGCCTCAGAATCTGCTTCTGGAGGAACTCAAACCAAGATAACTCTCCTACAGGCTGAAACCCACAGAAACCCAGTTTCAACCATGCCTATGTTGACAATGTCCCAGGACTTGGCAGAGTAACAAAGGGAGGAAGTCTCAGTCCCCAAGTGATGGCAGGGAGGAGAGTCACCCTAAAACCCAGAACTGCTAGGTAAAAAAATAACCTTCTTTCTGCCACAGCACTTTTTAGAAATTTTTGTTACTGCAGCTGCACCTTGTCTTAGCTAGTATACCTGCCCAACATCAATTTTCTGTCTGGTTACCGCACCCTGCCTTTCTGCTAGGGAACCACTTTCCCACCACTTCCAGGCCAGAGGTATAGCTGCCCTGATCTCTCTACCCCTGCTTCAGGGGAGGCAGGAAGCTTATCACTCAGGCCCAGGCAAAGAGTGTCCCATATCTCTCACAGCAGAATGATTGGCTCAGGGGCAGGCCCAAGAGCCAAATCAGGCCAATCAGAGATAAGGAGTATAAACCCAAAATCTTTGGTTAAAAGACAAACCCCACTCCTGCTAGGCTGTTGCACTATAGGATAGAAGTCCAATGGGGGTGGTCATACAACTTCCAATTGAGCCAGCCTGTGAAAAAAGCCACCTGGGGGAAAACCTGGTAAAAGAGAGAAAGAGATGAAGGATGATGACACATTTAAGCACTTATATCCAGCCACCCCTGAAGTGGGAACAACCCTAGACTTATTATTTAATACATTTGCTTTTCTGTTAAGGACATTTTAAACTGACTTTCTGTCACTTGCAACCAAAAGAGTTCTGTTTACTAAAAATCTGATCCTAAAGAGAACATCATATCAGCTAGTTCACAATTCCCTGTACAAAACAGCCCACAGGTCAGCTGCCCCAGTCAGAGTGATTTAGATATTCCTTTATAGGAATGTTCATTTTTATTGTCTAAAGACCCAGATAACTGAGGAAAGCAAATCAACCACCTTCTAGCTTCCCTCTCCTCTGTATCAAGTGTTAGGAGACACAACACAATGTCAGCAATTTGCCCATGGAGCCAGGGTTGAGCCCTCTGAACAGGCTCTGTGCCTGTAGGTTGCACTTCATCCCATTGTGCTGCTTTTTCTTGCCACCAACTGCTGGCCTCTGCTGTCACCTCATCCACTTACAGGCACAGAGAGCTGACCCTTAGTGCTCTAAGGATGGTTCCAGGGAACATGTGCAGTGCCCCGCAGGTTGTAGGTGTCCTGCAAACAGGGTAGATTTCCTTCTTTTTGAAAGAAAAGTGCTAATTCAAAAGAGAAGTGTTATAGAATATGCTACTGTCCAGACATTGTCATAATGTCTGGTCCACAGTATGAGAGAGGAGAAAAGGGAAAGAAGGTGAAAGGAAAGGAGGGAGAAGACAGAAAGGGAAGAGTAGAAGAAGGGAGATGATGGAAGATGGAGACAGAGAAAAATAAGAAAACAGCCTCATCACCCAAATGTTTCCCTTAACCAAGGAGCAACCTGGTCCCAAAGAAAGATTTTCTTTTCTTCCAGGGTGGAAATGGACCTGAGGTACGCAGGCCAGGCAGTGCCCAGGGGACAAGGGGCAGGACAACATGGTGCAGCTGATCAGCACCTCACGCAGTTCAAGGGACAGGCTTACTACTTCTCCCCCACCCCACCATGGTTTCCTGAGGCTTCTGGGCCTTTCTTACTGCCCGCCCCCAGGCATGGAAACACCCTGAAACTTTCTCACCACCTCCTCCCCCATGTCCTACTGCCTTCTTTTTGGTCTATCATGGTCTCATGTTTGTTTATTGTTAACCTCCTAGGCCTCCTAGGAGAGGAGATGCAGGTAGTTAAAGGTCACTATACTCAGCAGTCACATGCTGCTGCTGCAGTCCCTCCCACGTGTGCCCTGTGTGTGCCAGTGAGCATTCCTCACACTCCAACGTTTACCACACATTGTCCCCAGTGCTGGACTCACGAAAGGGAGGAGTGCCTTCAGCCAGCAAGTCCTAGCCCCAGAAAGCCAGAGGCATCTCTGGAGTAACACCATGGCCACAAAAAGTGACCAAAATGTTTGACTTACCTACTGATTTGACTCTACACGCCTCTGCCCATCAGTGTGGAAGTCAGCTGTTCAGTGCTTTCTTTTCATCCGCTATCTATGCTCCTACCCAGCACTTAAGATTTGCCTCTTCAAACCCACCCACTGAAACAAAATAACCAAGCTCCAAATAACCTGAAGTTGGATGTCACAATTAGCCTGAAATAAGGAACTATATAGCTCAATGCTCTCTTGTTTTGTTATTATAAGGAAAGTTTCATGAGGATATTTCATTTATTAAAATAATTCCTATAAACTCTTTTGGGGTAATAAAATTAATTTTTCTTGCTTAAGTAGCATTTCAAGTGGAAGTACTTTTATTTCAAGGCACCATAACATGATGGTTTCTCTAAGAACACCTCTGGCTCCATGTGTGAAAATCCTAAAAAAATAAAGAAGAGTCCTGCACAGTGACCACAGCCACCCTTTAAATTTCACTGATATGGTTGTGTTCAATAGGACATGGGTTAAAGGAGACCTGACACCACTATTACAATTGACAGTCTCAGAAGAGATCCCCCTGCTGAGGCCCCAAGAGGACAGACAGATAAACCGAACACCTGTAACTAGAAAGAGCCAGTGGGGCCCTCAAAAAAAAATCTGTGTAAACATGTCAGCACTGGCATCTTTCCCTTTCTCCTCCTCATTTCTCCTCCTCCTCACTCAGGTTGGCATTCCCTTGGAGTGTGGATGTTAGCTTGTTTTGCAAAAGGGCTGCCAGTTTTTTGGATGTTTTTTTGAGAAATGCACTGCCTGGGTGGGCACTGTTTACATGCAGGTACAGGTCCTCCTGGGTGGGGCCTGTGTAGCCACAATCTTCACAGACATAGAGTTTGTCCCGGCGTTGCTTGTAGGCATACTGTTGCTGCACCCCGTGGATTTTCTTCAGGTGGGACTCCAAGGAGCAGCGCTGGGTGAAAGCTTTGTTGCAAATGTCACATTTGTAGGGGCGAATGCCTGCAAGGGCAAAGGGCAGACACATCACTGGTTTGTCATGGCCAAGCCAGGGTCTTCCAGCTAGGCTCACCAGCAATTATCATGTATAACCCAACCACAAAACAAACAAACAAACAAACAAAAAACAACAACAAAAAACCCTATCTGATTCAAAATCAGGCAGAAGAACTGAACAGACAGTTTTCCAAAAAGGATATACAAATGGCCAACAGTTAGATGAAAAGGTGTTCAACATCAATAATCATGAGGGAAATGCAAATCACAACCACAGTGAGATACCACCTCACACCTGTCAGAATAGTTATCATCAATAAATCAATAAATCAACTAACTAGTGTTGGTGCAGATGTGGAGAAAAGAAAACTCTCGTGTGCTGTTGGTGGGATTACAAATTGATGCAGCCACTATGGAAAACAGTATGCAGGTTTCCCCAAAAATTAAAAATTGAACTACATTATGACTCAGTAATTTCACTTCTGGGTATTTATTCAAAGAAATCCAAACACTAATTCAAAAAATATATGCACCCCTATGTTCATTGCACCATTATTTACAATCCAAGATATGAAGCAACCTAAGTATCCATTGATAGTCAAATGGGTAAAGAAGTGGTGCAGCCCTGGCCAGGGTGGCTCAGCTGATTGGAGCATCATTCAGTAAACCAAAAGGTCACAGGTTTGATTCCCAGTCAGGGCACATATCTGGGTTTCAGGCTTGATTCTTAGTGGGGATGCATGCAAGAGGCAACCGACTGAGATGTTTCTTGCTCCCTCTCCTTCCCTTCCCTTCTCTTTAAATTCATTAGGCATGTGCTCAGGTGAGGATAAAAAAGAAATTAAAAAAAGAATGCAACCTTACCATATGCAACAACATGGATGAACCTAGAGGGGTATTAGGCTAAGTGAAATAAGTCAGCCCAAAAAAGACAAATATCACATGATTTCACTTATATGTGGAATCTAAAGAAAAAATAAATAAACAACAAAACAGACAGACTCATAGGTACAGAGAACAAACTGATGGCTGTCAATGGAAGGGAGATTGAGGGGCTAACTGAAAAAAGTGAAGGAAATAAGGAGTACAAATTGGTATTTAAAAAATAGTCATGGGGATGTAAATTACAGTATAGGGAATATAATCAATAACATTGTAATAACTATGCATAGTGCCAGGTGGGTTCTAGACTTATTGGGGAAACTACCTTGTAAATTATATATGTCTAATCATTATACAGTACACCTGCAACTAATATAAAATAATATTAAATGTCAACTGTCATTAAGTTTTTTTAAATTAGAAGTAGGTGTAGGGCTTCCGACCAAGATGGGGGTGTAGGTAGATACACTTTGCCTCCTCTTACAACCAAAAGAAAGAGAACAACAAATTTAAAACCAAAAAATAACAAGAACTATCAGAAAATCAAACTGTAGGGAGGTCCAACAACCAAGGAGATAAAGAAGAAACATTCATTCAGACTGATAGGAGTAGTAGAGACGGGCAGCCAGGGTGGACAGAATGTGAGGAAAGGAGGTGGATGGAGGACTGGGCAGGGGATGCAGCGAATGGTGGACTGGGCAGTCCCACGTTTGTATGTGGATAAACCAGGAGGAACAACTTGAGAGGGAGACAGACCGCACAACCCTGGGTTCCAGCACAGGGAAATAAAGCCTCAAATCCTCTGGCTGTAAAAATCTGTGGGTATGGCAGCAGCAGGAGAAACTCCCAGCCTCACAGGAGAGTTCATTGGAGATACCCACAGGCTCATAGAATATATACAAGCTCACCCACCCAGGAACTAGCACCAGAAGGGCTTGATTTGAATCTGGGTAGTGGAGGAAGTCACTGAAAACCAACTGAGAACCAAGCAAGTGGTATTGTTCCCTCTTGAGACTCTCCCCCACATAAAGTGCCACAACAAGCAGCAACCTGGGGTGCCCTGCCCTGGCAAATACCTAAGGCTCAACCCCATTCTAGGTAATAGGCACACTGAGACAAAAATATATGGCCCCAAAGAAAGAACAGATAAAAGCTCCAAAAATAAAACTAAGCAATGAAGAGATAACCAACCTATCAGATGCAGAGTTCAAAACACTGGTAATCAGGATGCTCACAGAAATGGTTGAGTATGGTTGCAAAATAGAGGAAAAAATGAAGGCTACAAAAAGTGAAATAAAGGAAAATGCACAAGGAACCAACAGTAAAGGGAAGGAAACCAGGACTCACATCAACAATTTAGAGAAGGAAGAAATAAACATTTAGCCAGAACAGAATGAAGAAACAAGAATTCAGAAAAAATGAGGAGAGGCTTAAGAACCTCCAGGACAACTTTAAATATTCCAACATCCGAATCATAGGGGTGCCAGAAGGAGAAGAGGAAGAGCAAGATACTGAAAACTTATTTAAACAAAGAATGGAGGAGAACTTCCCTAATTTGGCAAAGGAAATTGATTTCCAGGAAGTCTAGGAAGCTCAGAGAGTCCCAAAGAAGTTGGATCCAAGGAAGCACACATCAAGGCACATCATAAGTATATTACCCAAGATTAAAGATAAAGAGAATCTTAAAAGCAGCAAGAGAAAAGGAGACAGTTACCTACAAAGGAGTTCTCATAAGACTATCAGCTGATTTTTCAAAAGAAACTTTGCAGGCAAGATGGGGCTGGAAAGAAGTATTCAAAGTCATGAAAGGCAAGGACCTCATACAAGATTACTCTATCCAGCAAAGCTGTCCTTTAGAATGGAAGGGCAGATAAATTGCTTCCCAGATAAGGTCAAGTTAAATGAGTTCATCATCACTAAGCCCTTATTTTATGAAATCTTAAAGGGACTTATCTAAGAAAAACAAAGTGATCAAAAATATGAACAGTAAAATGACAACAAACACAACTATCAACAACTGAACCTAAAACAAAACAAAAACAAAAACAAACTAAGCAAACAACTAGACAGGAACAGAACCACAGAATTGGAGATCACATGGATGGTTATTAGTGGGGAAGGGGAGGGGAGAGAATGGGGGAAAAGGTACAGGGAATAAGAAGCATAAATTGTAGGTACAAAATAGACAAGGGGAGGTTAAGAATAGTGTAGGAAATGTAGAAGCCAAAGAACTTATATGTATGACCCATGGACATGAACTAAGGGAGAGGGGGAGTGAATGCTGGTGGGAGGGGGTGCAGGAAGGAGGAGAATAAAGGGGAGAAAAAAATGGGACAACTGTAATAGGATAATCAATAAAATATATATTTTTAAAAATATTTATATTAAAATATATAAATATATATGTATTTTATAAATAGTTGTATTAAAATTCACATTTAAATTGTTTTATTTTACAATAATGGAATTTATTATGATTTTATTATGCTTGCTTTAATGGATATATTTATCAAAGAGATTTTCAAAATCTTTTCACTTAACACTATTCCTGGAGTTTCTTCCATTTTGGTGCTTACAGATCGATTTCATTCCTTTTTAAGAGTATCACATAATTTTGCTGTACAGCTGTACCCAAATTCCATCTTTTCTCTGGCTCTTTTTTTTTTTTTAATTTATTTCTATTTATTTTTAGAGAGGGAAGGGAGGGAGATAGAGAGAGAGAGAGAGAGAAACATCAATGTGCGGTTGCTGGGGGTTATGGCCTGCAACCCAGGAATGTACCCTGGCTGGGAATCGAACCTGGGACACTTTGGTTCCCAGCCCGTGCTCAATCCACTGAGCTACGCCAGCCAGGGCTCTCCATCTTTTAAAACTATAGAGATTGAAGGAGTATTGCACCAGCCCACACCCTCACATCATATGCCATACTGCCTTGTACAGCTTGGTTCGAATGTTGTCCACGGACCAGTGGTCAAACTGAATCACCTGCAAGCTCACCGGAAACACAGTCTCAGGTCCCACCCAGATACACTGAGGCAAATGCAAAAGCTGTGGCTCTTCAACCCAGGAGGGTTGTCAAAACACAAGTTCGAAGCCCCACTCGTGGCTCTGGGATAAAGCTGAGACTTCATTGCTAACGTGTTTCCCAAGTGATGCTGAAGGTGCTTGTATAGAAACTTTAGCAAATTAAGTGTAAGGTAATCATGCCCCACACACCTCCCAATGTCTTCTCTTCAAGGTTAAATGCCACCAATTCCTTAATGGTGGTATGTGGATGGGATAGGGAAGCCAAGAGAGCTCCAAGAGAGTTCTGTTCATAAATATTTTTAGTGTAGATAGATGATAAAAGAAGTCAAAATGGAAATAAAAAGTTCCCCCTATTCCTGTCCAACAATCTGAACAAATCAAGTCATTTACTTTTCTTCCAATAAAGAAACACACATCATTTCCTTTAACACTCTGTGATAAAAACTGTGTTGGATCAGTGTTATGGTGAGATGTTACTCCAGCCTACTGAAGCAGAATGCAGGCCTGTATTATATTTCACACATTGTAGAAAAACTACCAAAAGTTAAAGAGACATTCTGAAATAAATTGAATGAACAAGAATTCACATCTTTGGAGCTAGCTTTCTAGAAATCTAAAGGCTATGAGACCTTTCCAAAGGAATGATATTCCCACATACATGGCAGCTGGCTCCCCGCACCTCTGGCAAATCAAGCAACAAATCTGATTTCAAACCCACAGCCCATCAAAATAGAAATTCACCCAGAGACCAGTTGCTCCTTTCAATAGTTAATGGAAAAACCTGCTTTTAAAATATCTAAACTAAGCACATGGAGAAATCAGCACACACACCAGGCTTTAACTTGGATGCAACAAACTCCAGAGTTCCTAGAAATAGATGCTTCCAAACTTACAGCAATGGCCTGGAAATGGCTGTACTACTTTGCCTGATCCCTATGCCCTGGGAGAGGCCAATATGCCAGGACCACCTCTGGTGAGCACAGGGTCTTGCTTCCTTCCTCTCTCCATTCAGTAGGTCAGCCAAAAGTGTCTTCTTTGGGAAGAGCACCCTGCAAGGCCTGCACAGCAAATGCTAGATTTCAGAGCCCTGCCTCTTC